CAACCCCCTTCCCATTTCCCTATATAATCATGCTCACCCCTTTGCTCAGGGAGACAGACATTTTAGAGAAATGATTCTGTCTGTCTCCTTGGGTATTGATACTCAGTAAACCTTTTGCTTTACCTCTTAAAAAAAAAAAAAAAAAAAAAGGTATGGTTTAGAGAGAGACATGGGGGAAAGTGGGAGACCATGAAAAATGCCTTTACATACTTCAAGCAGAGACTTGGGCCCAGTTGCAATGGAACTAGAGAGGAGAGTACATATTGGAGAGTTATTTGGGAGTTAAAATCTTGGAGTGTGTCTTAGGCTGGGTTCTCTAGAAGCAAAACCAGTGAAGCATATAGAGAAAGAGAGAGAGATCTTTCTCAAGAAAATAGTTCACAAAGTTGTGGAGTGGCAAGTTCCAAATCTGTGGGTCAGGCGTCAAGCTGGAGGCTCTTCCTAACTCACATTGTTGCAGAGGCTAACGAACCCAAAATTGGCAGGTCAGGCAGCAGGCTGCTAGCTCATGTCCCAAGAGCTGGAGGTTAGACAATAATGAGTTGGACTGAGAGCAATTGAGTAAGCAAGCTTTGCCAGAATGTCCATATATATTGGATACAAATCACATCCCTGAGGAAACTCCACTTACAACTGATTGGCTAAGCACATCAGATTGCATCATGGAGGTGATTACATTATATTACATTAAGGAAAAACAACCAGTCTGGCATCTGCCAAAAAGTCACTGAGAATCATGACCTAATCAGGCTAACATGTAACAGTAACTATCACAGAGTCCTAGTGATTATTTAGATTTCAGAGATGATGAGCACTGAGGCACCCATGATGCCCCACAGATTTGGGGTTTGGGTACTGGGTAGATGGTGAACTCAGGAAGAGGAACAAACTTTAATGGGAAAGACACTGAGTTCCCTTTTGAACATATGGACTTAAGACTCCTTTTTTATGTTTGTTTTCATCAGACTTGTGCATTTGTATAGGTTTAGAATTCAGGAGAAAGACAGCCAGAACCTGTGGTGACTGCAGAAAATGAGATGAGCAACGCAGGGGATCAGCCTGGGCAGGGGAAAGAGCCACCAAGCAGCTTTCTTGTCTGCAGAGGCTACTGCACAGACTTTCTCATGGGCAATCCAGGTAGAATCCTGGACTCAGGAGTCTTTGAGATCATTGAGTCTAAACCTCATTTTGCAGATGAAGAAATTGAGTGTTGACATGTTGACTGGACAGTTCTTCTCCAGAGTTGCATGGCCAATGCTACCAGGAGCCAGCCCCAGATCTCCCAGGGCACCCTCTTCTCCACAGTGAGGAGATCCAGCTGCACATCTTCCTTCCAGCTCTCCCTCTCCTCGTGTGGGCTGGGCAACAGTGGAGAGGCTGAAGGTGTGGCTAAATGCAAAAGGAGGAATAGGAACAAGAGCCACGGAAGTAATGGGAAGAGGAGGAGAAACTAAGGGTCCAGCACACAAGTGAGAACAAACAAGTGGACAGAGAAAAAGACTCTTCACAGAACCTTCTCCTTGTGCTTCTGCTCAGCCAGTCTCCCTGCAGGAGAGTTAACCAAACCAAACACACTGCCGTGGAGTTGGATCTGACTCATAGTGACCCCTCCTTGGATTTCCAAGGCGGTATCACTACAGAAGTAGATTGTCCAACCTTCCTTCTGAGGAGTGGCTGGTGGGTTTGAACCACCAGCCTTCTGGTGAGCAGTCAAATGCCTTAGGCACTATGCTACCAGATAGTTACTACCTTTCAAATGCCACTGCAGCGTTGTTTTCAGAGAAAGGGTTTAGACCAATGTTCTCAACTTACTTTGCTAGCATTCCCCCAACACAATTACTATTAGTGCATAGTTGATCAAAACATCCCAAGTATATTACCTGTTTTTAGAAACACAAACATGAATTTCTTAACCATATGGATAAGGGTCTTTTTTTTTTTTTTTCAATTGGTTCATGTATCCTAGAACGAAGCAGGATTTAACATCAATATTACTGCTAGTTTTCATTTATAGAGTTGTAAATATTGAGAACTTTTGTTCAGATAAATAAATTGGGACTGAAAGGAGTTTCGTTATAATGATACCAACTCAACACTTGAACTTCTAAGCTCAAAAGTGATCTATTATTGGAAATTATTTTGCATGGACTATTAACTGAAATTTGATTGGACTCTTCTCTAAGGTTGTTGAAAACAAAGAAATGAAAACCACTAAACTTGAAAAAGGATTTTTTTTAAACCCAGTGTTTCACTTCCTTGGCACGTATATGAATATTTCAAATTGTTCCCCCCCCCTTTTGTTTTTTTTGCATTCCCAGTGTAACACACCATAGTAAAATTTAGGATGGGCAAGAGTCGGCCCTTCTTTCATAAAGAGGGAAAAGGGTGGTTGTGGAGGAGGAGATAGGACAGGTAGGACAGTTCTCAGAAATTGAGGATCTAGAAACTGAGGGACTGATTCTCTTAAAACTAGCCTTGTTTGTGCACAAGTTGGAAAATTCTCAAGTACTCTGAGGCAGGATCAGGACAAGAGAGGTGCCTAAGGCACTCATGTGGGTACAGAACTTAAAAGTAAAGTGGTCTCAGGTCAGTTCCAATTCCATGAGTGTCAGAGGAGAACTGTGCTCCATAGAGTTTTCATGGCTGATTGTTTTGAAGGTAAGTAGCCAGGCCTTTCTTCCAAGACACCTCTGGGTGAGTTTGAACCTCCAACTTTTCAGTGAGCATCAGACCATGTTAATCATTCGCACCACTCAGGAACTCCTCAAAATTTAAAGGGGTGGCAAAAAACCCAATCATCAAGATAATATTTGGAAGCATATTTTAAATAATAATAATAATACATAATTATCCGTGATGAGCAAAATATCAAATTAAAGACAAGATCCGAGGACAAGTGTACCCAGTTTGAAGTCCACAGGTCTAAGTGTCTCAAGTCTAAGAGCAATGGTAGCTACAGTATTCTTTTGCCCATACTGCCACCTGCTGCTAGCAAATGGGCAATGCTCGCTGCCTAAATGAAAACTAACCTCTCCACCACCACCCATGCTCATGCACAGGGATATGGGTGCCCTCTTGTGGCCAGCCTCCCACAGAAACTTTGAAAAATCCCTGGCTATCTCCATCCTAGGTGCTCTGGTAGCATAGTGCCTAAGACACTTGACTGCTAACCAGAAGGCTGGAGGTTCAAACCCACCAGCCACTCCTCAAAAGGAAGGTTGGGCAATCTATTTCCATAGTGATACCACCTCGGAAACCCAAGGAGGGGTGGCTATGAGTCGGGTCCGACTTGAGGGCACATAACAACAACAACCTCCATCCTATTAGAAAGCTGAGTGTGTGATAAAAAGAGCCTAAGACTCAGAGTCACAAGACATAGATAGTAATCTCAGCTTTGCCTTCCACTAGCTGGACCACCTTGGACAAATGGCATCACCTATACCAATGGGCCTCATTACCTTCTCCCATAATTGTTGACTTATGATGTTTTTTTGTGACACTACCCAGCAGACTGCCTGGCATGAAATACCGCACACAAGTCACTGGTGATAGCAAGCTGCCTTCTCCAGCCCAGCCCTATCAATCCAATCAAACTGCCTTCAATTTATTACGGAAGACCAGACACACTAAAGGACAACCAAGAAGAAAAAAAGTGCTGCAGAAGTCCAGATGGTGAATGATGGCTATGGCTGATCAGACAAAGAAGACTTCCCTGAGGAGGTGTCACTAGAGCTGGGCCTGCATGGTTCCATGCACCAGATCACTGCCAGGAGCTGGCTAATAGCCTCTGGTGTTTTAGTTCAGGAAGGTTCTGGTGACATAAAGCAAGCTTCACGGTGGTGGTGGAAAGGCCGAGACCCTTGGAATCAGCAGCCCTGGGTTAAATCCTGGCTCTGCTACTTCCTAGCTGTGCAATCCAGGGAAGTCACTTAACTTCCCTGAGCCTTGACTTCCTCCTCTTCTATACTATGGGGATAACAACACATTTTGTACTGAGAGGATACGATTAAATAAGACACATACTTAAAGTTCTTACAGTAGGGCGGACTCAGTAAATAGCAGCTGTATTGCTAACCTGGAGAAATGTGACCCCTGCACAGCTTCCTATGAGAGGTAGGATAGAAGGGGATCCACCATCAAGCAGTGCTGGCACTTGCCATGTTTGGTTCCTGCACCAGCTCCCAGGGTGTGTTAGGGAAGCCAAGGAATGTAAATTTGCCTGGATTCCTGGGGGCAACCTCTGTTCTCACCCCCATACCCACCCCACAGCAGGATTCTCAATACATCCCAGAAATGAAGCCATATCAGAAGAGTAAGGGGTGGGGACACCCCGCTTCTAGCAACTGAGTTGGGGAGGATTTGATGGATTCCAACAGATGGAAGTGGATTCTACAAGAAAAAAAAAAAAAAAAAGCCTGGAAATTTGAATAAAATCTGTAATTTAGAAAACAATATTGTATCAATGTTATTTTCCTGATTTTGATAACTGCTCTGTGCTTATGTAAGAAAATGTCCTTGTCTTCAGGAACCACACACTAAATGAAGGATTTAGGCATAAAGGGTCTGCAATTTACTTTCAAACAGCTCAGAAAAACTAATAAAAGGATAAAGTAAATATGGAAAAATGTTAATATTGGGGGAATCTGGACGGAGCGATACGGGGACCCTTGCAAATTTTCTGTAGGTTTGGCATTATGGGAAGGTAAGTTATAAAAAGAAAAAAAGAAGGCAGCAGGCCAGAGTTGTCTCTTTTTCCTTCCTTTTATCCCCCTCCCGCGCTTGGGCCTCCTCTCTTTCCAGTCCCTTGGAGAACCAGCCTCTTCTCCCTCTTCCTCCAGGGTTTTGGGGCTGAGATCCCGGAAATCTTCGCCCCGCCCCGGACCCTACACAGACCGCAGCGACTCACGCCAAAGCTCTAGCAACTTTATTTGCAAAAGGAGCCCCCCCCACATACAAACTCGCCTCCGGCCCCCAGCTCCCACCTCGCCCCACCCTGGTCGCTACACGATCCCGAACTGGCAGATGTAGGGCAGCTGGTCGCGACAGCGCTTGTCAAACCACTTGCCGGCGGCCGCGCCTGACAAGGCGGCGCAGTTCTCTGCCTTCCCGCCGTCCGGCTGCGCGGTGATCTCGGTCTCCCAGTTCTTGTAAGAGATGCTTCCACCGGTCGGGTCAACCCAGACCCCCTCGTCCGCCATATCGTTGATGCCTAGCCAGATCTCGGCCTCGGCGCCCAAGCTCTGGTGCAAGTACTCGTAGATGGCATCGTTCTCCGAGCCCGTCTGCGGGGTGCCCAGGGTGCCCCCGCGGGAGATGCAATCCTCGCTCGCCTCATGGAAGGTCTTGGCCTGGGCAAAGGACAGGAAGCACTTCATGTGCACCTTGGTGCCCTTCAGGCAGACTGGGGGTGGGGATGGGGAGTGGTGAGAGAAATGGCCATCACTGACGGTTGCCAAGGTTCCAGAGCCAAAGAGCCAACCACTAGGGGCAGGCCCATCATCCTCCATCCCACCCCATCCATCCCATCTTTCCAGGACAGCCCCTAGTTCCAGCAGGCAGGAGGAGTCCTGACCATCCATGACCCCTTGAGGATCCCACTTGGTGGACACACTGATGTGGAGCCCAAGATCCCCATTCAGTTAAGATCTATCTGGGTGTCTTCACTCAGGAATGAGGTCAGATCCCTCTTCTGCAGAGAGCCACCTGTTCCATGGTTACACCGCGTGACCGGGCAGCCACCTCCCTACCTGAGAGATGTGGGGGTATAAGGCTAACCATTTCTGCCTATCACAGGACAGTGCCTGAAGGCCTTTCTAGCTGCAGAGCTCCCTGAGGTGAGCAGAGGTAGGGTTGGCCTGCACTGTGACTGCAGCTCCCCTCATGGCCAGCCCTACTTCCTTCCTCTCCCAAAGTCTCTCCACAAGAAACAGCATAATCAACTCTACCCAGCCACTCTGGCCCTCCTCCAGCCACAGCCACAGCCACACCCCTCCCTAAGGATTGGCCTCCTTCAGGATAAGGAACATGCTCACCTAGAGCCTAAGCCACACTCCAGGTACCCAGGACTCAATCCCTGCCCAAGAGGCTAGAGCACCCAGAGGGTTCTCTCCTGGTCTTTTCTACTGAGGGCTGGTTGGGGTGGGGGGTTAGAAGGATGGAACTTAGACTAAAGGGCCCCTGAGATAGAAGGGTAAGCTGTGGGTAGGACCAGCTCTTCTGTGGAAGTCTGAGATGTCCAAGAATTCTAAGTTTGAACCTGGTTTCACAGGTTGTAATGAAGATATATTTGGTTGAGTTAGGAATATAGATGTAATATAGATGTCCTTTGATGTAAACATTTTAAACTTGATTTATAATTTAAATATTTAGACCAATAGGGTTTGTGTCTCCATTTGTCCACTTGCTGCTGCCCTTGCAAATGTTAGGGGTGGGTTTGCACTCCATTCCATCCATCCACTCATTCACTCACTAAGTTTCTTCTATTCTAGTCACTCAGCAAATACTAATGGGGTAATATCACCATGTCCCCCTGGGGATCTAACAGCTTCAGAACTCTAAATTCAGGGCTTAAGTATTATAAGGGTATCTTTACCTCCAGGTTCTGCCCCAAGTTAGCAGCCCTACTTTATGCTGTCCTGCACTTTATCAAGCAGACTTTGTTGCCCTTCCCAGACGTTCCTTTCCTTCCTGCCAGGGACACTACAACACATACCCTAGACCCCTTATGGGGAGAAAGGACTTGTCCTAGCTGCTGGGAGTGCTGTAGGAAGACAGCCCTTAGTTCTCAGCCCCCCTTTGATGACTGTCTCCAAAAGAGAGAACTGCCTCACCCAAGGTTGTACCCCCTTCCCAAGGCAGCCTGCATCCAAAGATTGGCCAATGAACCTTCTTGTCCCAACTCTGGATAGCTCTAAAGGGTCATCTCATCTCCTCTGCAGTTGGCTGAGGCTTTTGTTGAGACTACGGTGCAGCTTGGCTTTTCCCTTTGCCCAATCCTGTTCCTTCTGTCCCCTCTTCCACAGGTGCTAATCCCAAGGATACTTCCTAGTGAGACCCCTGCAGGAGGACCCTAAACTCCATCTCAGGGGCACTTCCTGGGACCTTGACCTGCAACACTCCCTTTAACATACCAAACTAAACTTACTGCCATCAAGTAGATTCCAATTCATAGCAACCCCCATTGGGTTTCCAAGGCAGTAAATCTTTACGGAAGTAGATCTCCCAGTCTTCCTTCCGAGGAGTGCCTGATGGGTTTGAACCTCCAGCCTTCTGGTTAGCAGTCAAATGCCTTAGGCACTACGCCACCAGAGCTCCTTTCCTCCAACACATAGTCCTTAATAATTATTAGTTACCATTGTTACTAACATTTTTGGCGCTCGGGTCTATTTATGATCCTGTTGATTCATGCTAGCCCATCTCTGAACCTTTGCTCCTACCATGCCCTATGCTTGGAATTCCTCTTTGTCTTCTCTGATTCCTATACATCCTTCAAGGGCTCAAGTGAGTATATTGACTCCATGAGTATAATGAGGCTCCCAGAGAACAGGGCTCTGTTTGGAACACTTCTGCCTCCCTTGTGCCTGGCAGAGATGTACTGGATGGGCACCTCACATCCCTTTGCTGATTGGGGGAGAGAAGGAGCAGATGGCAGAAGGCTGTGCATGGAGCAGAATGATTCAACCTTCCCCTAGCTCCTGGTTTTCTGGTCTCTTTGGTTGTGTCAGAGCTTGGGAATGCTCTGGGCAGCTGTATTGACAAGGTGATTAGCAGGCTCTGGTACCAAGGGTGATGATGAGAAGGAGACAGTCCCCAAGGAGGCCAGGAGGCCACAAACCTCCTGGGAATCAGCAGACATGGAGCAGACACTTTGGACCTTCACATGACACATTTGGGCAGGGAGCTGCCTACCACTTCACCTCACCTAATGGACAAATGACATCTGGGTTACACTGACTTTGCACAAACACATAGCTCAGACATGAGAGTGAACTTAGAGCTTGCCCTCCAAGACAGCCCCTCATCCCCTTCCACTTTACCGATGAGGAAACAGGCCCAAAGTGGGATTGTGCTCGTTCTAAACATTCCCTTTGTGGCAGACACTGTTGGTTGACCCCTTCAATGCCCTTTTCCAACCTCCTTGTCTGCCTCCACTTCAGAGGCTAGAAAAGTTACATTCTTGCATTTCCAGACTCTCTTGGAGCTACAGTTAGCCATGTGATAGAGTTCTGGTCAATAGGATGTACACGAAGACTTTTTGCTTTCCTGATAAATGGAAGAGATGTGTCTGGCCACCCTTTCTCCTGCTTCTTGCCTTTGGAGCTGGGGCAGCCATCTTGGAATTGGGATCATGAGGTGATGCTTCTGAACAAAAGCTTACAGCTACCTATTTCCAGACTCACACTTTATTTAAGACATTAATAGGTTTTCTATTACTTGAAGCCAAAAAGATCCTTGGTACCTTCTTTTCTAGAGTGCACTCACTCCAACACTTACCATGTTAAGCAAGTTGCCCAGAGTCAAGTGTTTGTCCTCTTTCGCTCCCTCTTTTCCTTTTATTTTTCCCTCCCCCCCCCCTTCTTTCCTTCAACAATTATTTACTGAGCACTGTGCTGGGCAGGGTGGTGGAAGAGACAAGAGCAATCAAAAACAGACAGCTGATCCTCAGCCTATGTGACCATGAGACCAGAAGAACTAGATGGTGCCCGGCTATCACTGTCAACCACTCAGAGGGGGATTGGGGCAGGAGATCCTGGACAGAGTGGAAGAACAATGTGGACCAAAACTCAAAATCATTTAAAAGAAAAAAAAAGACCAGCTGTACTTATCTGATAGAGGCTAGTGAGACTCCTGACTATGGCCCCTAGCTACCCTTGAGGTCTGGAATTGAACTCACTCCTGTGACTTCCAGCCAAACAACAGACAGGCATATGGGATGAACATTTACATCAGGTAGATACACTACTTTGAGGGATCAATCAGGGAGAACAGAAGGGCAGTGTCTGCACAGGGAGACAGCTGGGGGAGGGGAGCAAAAGTACCTGGGAGGGAAGGACACAAGGAAGAGGTAACTACAGGGAGGAAGTGGAAAGAGAGCTGTTACATTGTGGGGAATTGCAGTCAATGTCACGAGATAAAATATGTATGAATTGCTATATGGAAAATGAATTTGTTCTGTAAATTTTCATCCACATCACAATTAAAAAAAAAAAAAGACATAGCCCCTGTGTTCATGGGGCTTATAGTTTAAGTTGGAGAAGCAGACATAAGTCAACAAATGAATACATCATTACAAACTGTGATAAATGAGGAAGAAAAGTATATGGTTCTGTGAGAGCTCCTAAATGAGGAGCCTGATTCAAGAGACCCCTGAGAAGGTGATGCTAGAGGCATTTATTAAATGGGTCCTGGGGGAGCAATTCAGGCTGACTGAGCAGCATGTGCAAAGGCCCTGGGCTGGGAGGGACAGACAGTGTCACTCTAGAGGGCCAGAAGGATGGCCAGTGTTATTAGAACTCAGTGCGTGAGGGGAAGAGAGCCAAAAGGCGCCAGACTTCACAGGACTTTGTCCAAATTTGTTATTATAAAAGCAAAGGGAAACCATTGTGAGGTTTGAGATGAGGGATAACACAATCCAATTTGCATTTTTCAAAGATGATTTTGTCTAAAAGAGTACATCAAGGGACATCAATTAGGAGGCTTTTGCGGTAGTCTGGTGATCACATTATGGTGGTTATGGTGGAAATGGAAAGAAATACATGGATTTGAGAAATCTAGGAGGTAAAGTCAGCTGAACTTTGTTATCTGTGGATTTGGAGGATGAAGTAGAAGGTGTCTGCTGCAGAGCCTAGACTAGGGTGAGGTGAGTGAGATTCTTGGGGCATGACATTTCAGGAGGCTCTCACTTTTCTGGATAATGCAAGTGCAGGGTCGCCACCTGCAAGTGAGTGACATAGTCACCTCACTCTAGCGCCCGCCCTGCTAGCTGACTTTCATAATTGCTTGGATGATGGATACTGGAGGAGGACCAGCTTGAGAAGGAAGATCAGGACTTTGATCTAGCATCTGAGTTATCTGAGGGAGATGTTGAGCAGGTGATCTGTAGCTCAGAGGAGATACAAATCTGGAAGGTATGTGTCTGGGTACAATAATCAAAGCCATGGTGTGGAAAAAAGATTGTTTGGGAGAGAGTCCAGAGTGAAAAGAGAGTAAGTTGTACAGAAAAAACCTTAAGGAGCACCAACACTTAACAGCAAGGTGGAGAAAGATGAAGTGGCAGAGAAAATTGAGAGAAGATGACCAGAAAGGTGAGAAATGGAACCGGAGAAATCAGGGTCGTGGAGGCCCTGAAAGGAATGTTCCAAGAAGGGACCGGTCCTGCTAAGGGTCAAGTCTTGGGGTTTGTTGGCCCAGAAGTCACGGAAGATCTGAGGGAAACTTTTGGTGACCTCAGGGGTGCAGTTAATGCTCTTGACTCCTAACTGCTAACTTTAAAGCTGGAGGTTCAAGCCCCTCCAGAGGCACCTCGGAAGAGAGGCCTGGTGACCCACTTCCCATAAATCACCACTGAAAGCCGTGTGGAGCACAGTTCTCCTCTGACACACATGGGGTCGTCGTGAGTCCGTGTGGAAGCCAGACTACAGCGGGCTGAAGGCTGAGTGGGGGTCAACCCATTGCTGTCTAGTCAATTCTGACTCATAGGATAGAGTAAAACTGCCCCCCATTGAGTTCCCAATGCTATAAATCTTTCCAGAAGCAGACTGCCATATCTTTCTCTTATAGAGAGAGCAGCTGGTGGGTTTGAGCCACCTACCTTTCCATTGGCAACTGAGTACTTATCCGTTGTGCCACCTGGGTTCTTGAGAGGGGATTTTAAAAAATCCACTGCTATCAAGTCAGTTCTGACTCATAGAGACCCCCATTAGATTGCCTCACCTTCCTCCCTCAGAGCAGCTGGTGGGTTTGAACCACTGGCCTTCTGGTTAGCAGCCAATTGTCTTAACCACTATGCCACCTGGGCTCTTTTGAAAGGGGATTAGGGGGAGGAAATGGTGACTGTTGAGTGGATGAACTCTTCTGACAGTGTGGTTGTGCAAGGGAGGAGGGGATGTGGCTCCAGAGGTTTTTCCTTTGAAGAGGGCAGAGGCCGAGTCTGTGTGAATGCTGAGAGGATCTGAGCCAAAGAGAGAGTATAAAAACTGCCCAGTATGAATGAGCTCAGGCATAGCGAGGTTCCTGAAGAGGCAAGAGGGGAGAAGATGGCCCGACCCAGGAAAAGAGTGTGCTTTGCTCAGAGGAGGGTTGGGGAGAGGGTGTCTGTGGGCACAGGGAGGTTTGTAGATTCCCTGAGGTGCCAAAGAGATTCCCAGCTGGCAGCTTAAGAGGATGCAGAACAGAGGGGTAAGAGGGAGGCTCTGCTCTGTCCAGCTTTGGCCAGGTACCCAGCTCTCTAGAGTGGGGCTGTGGTAATAGACTGCTACAGGGTTTGCCATGAAGAATGAATGAGTTGACATATTCAGAGCAGTTGGATCAGTGCCAGGCACAAGGCAGCCCTGATATAAGTATTAATTATTATTGTTACTCTACATTCTCCATGAAATGGAGGAGTGCAAGGTCTTCTGGGGGTAGGTTCTGAGGTGTGTAGGGAGTGGAGGTGATATGAAAGGAAGCTGGTAGAGAAAGAAAGAATTAGTTGCCCAGGTGGGTTGGCCAGGCAGTGCTGGGGGGAGGTGGCATGACCTCTCCATGTACCCTGGCTCCACAGCTGTGTGATTTTGTCCAGCCTCGAGGGGCTGGTTAGTGCAGAGCTAGGAAGGCCCAAGCCCATCTCTCCTGGCACTCCAGTGTGGCACCAGAATGGCTATTTCCTTTCTAGTCTTGCTCTGTTCCTAACCAGCTGGGTGCATGTAAGCAAGGCCCAGGACCTCTCTATGGTTTGGTTTTAGAAATGGAGATGACAGAGATAGGGAATCCTGCTTTGGTATAATATGCAGTAAAGCTGCCCACACACCAGGCTGTTTAGCTGATGAAGTCCCTAGGGTTTCAGGACTGGCTAAGTGGAAGGTATCCTCTGGGAGCTTCATTTGGGTGGGATGCTGCCTCTGCTACAGAGGGTACTCCAGGGGCCATGCTTCCAGTAGTCTATGACAGATTCTTGTTGGAAGAGCCTTTTGTCCTCTTGGGACATTACTTCCTATCACCCAGCTGTGGCCAGAGGCTCAATTGTGCACACCTGGGTGGGTTTGGCAGACACATGTCAGGGATTCTCCCTGAGAGGAGGCAGTCTGGGAAGGGGGCTCCCTGAACTGGTGCCCTGGCCTACAGGGCTGGCCTAACAGAGCAGGGGCTGGGTGCTAGCTGCTGGCCTGAGCCCCCTCTGCCCAGGAGGGCTGCCTCCTGCACTCACCTGTCTGCAGAGCCTGTTGCTCCTTCAGCAGGGCCACCTCCTGGGCCAGGCTGTCCAGCCTATTCTTGAACTCCTCAAGTACCTTCGGGATCGTGATGTCTAGGATGAAGTCAGAGACAAATGGGAACAATCAGAAACCTATGAGAAAGGCAGAAGGGAGTGGAGCAGGCCAAGGACTGGGCAGGAAGGAACCTACCTCTGTCAACCATATAAGGATGATGGAAAATGATACCCCTACACATTGATAGCTTGGGACAGTACATAGCTGAGGGGGAAAGTGGGGGCTCCTGAAGCTCTAGCCACCCTGGCACCTCCATGGAGACCACATAGGACCATCAGGAGGGTGAAGCCAGAGAGGACCCAGGCAGCATCTCGTCTAATCCTTTCCTTCTTTTACATAATTAAGTACCATCTTTAGTAAACTGACAATGACCTTCCACATTGAAAAATTTTATTGTTTGCCTTTGAAGCTGTGTCCTTTATAAAGACTGTTCCTTGGGGGCAAATATGGCTAATGCTGATGGACACAACTATGTGTGATATTGAGTGTTCTCTTTTTAATGAACATTTTGCAGATGGTAATGAAAAACGAAAAACTCACTGCTGTCAAGTTGATTCGACTCATAGTGACCCCTCCCTAGGTTTCCAAGGCAGTAGCTCTACTGGAGTGGCTGGTGGGTTTGAACCGCCAACCTTCTGGTTAGCAGTCAAATGCCTTAAGCACTATGCCACCAGAGGCATACAATAAAAACTAAACAAAAAAAGTCCAAACAGTTCAAAAATATATTCTTCCCATTTGAGACTGCCCTCAGCACCCAACTTCCCAGAGGTAATTGTGATTACCAATTTCTTGTGAATCCTCCCACAAAAATTCAGTTTCAACTCATGATGATGCCACGAGTAACAGAACAGAACTACACTCTACAGGGTTTTCAAGTCTGTGAGCTTTTGGAAGCAGAGTGCCAGGCTTTTCTTCTGAGGCATCTCTGGGTGGGTTTGAACCTCCAACCTTGTGATTAGTAGTCCAGTGCTTAACTGGAAACCTAGGCATATATAAATAAGTATTTTTAATGTAAATTCTGTTTTAAAAACACATGTCAGCATAGTAGCCATTCTGTTTTGAACTTTTCTTTGTTTACTCGATAAACTGGATCTTGGGAGATTACTTGGTATCAGTACCCAGATCTGTCTTTTTCTTTGTCACAGTCCTGTGGGACTCACTCCATTGTCCTGACTTACATTTAAATACTTCACTAAGTCCCTGGCCTAAGGAGCCCTGGTGGTACAGCAATTAAGAACTCAGCTCCTAACCAAAAAGTTGGCACTTCAAACCCACCCAGTGGCTTCACAGGAGAAAGACCTGGCAATCTGCTCCAGTAAAGACTACAGCCTAGAAAAACCCTATGGGACAGTTCTACTCTGTCACATAGGGTCACTATGAGTTGAAATCAACTCCACAGCCTCCAGCAACAACAACCAGTCCTTGGCCATTGGACAAAGGTCCCATTTACGGAGGAGACTCAGAGAGGGCACCCCTCATACCCCTTTTGCCTCCTGCCTCCTGTGTTGTCTTGGCCCAGGCCGCCTGTTTCTCTGCCTGAATTCCCACCCTTATCGCCTCAGACTCTCTGAGCCCTGCGGGGTTAACAGCCATGTCCATTGCCATGGCATCTCACTAATGTTGTCCCAACACAGTCTGGGTTGACCTCACTGCAGGCGGGGCTGCAAGGGTAGCTTCTTGCCAGCAGCTAAGGGAACCCAAGGACAACCCGACCCCAGAGGCAATAGAGGGAGAGCAAAGCTGTTTGGGGTTGATTAGTTTAAGTTTGAACCATTTTTAATCTTAAGGCTATATGACACACTATGGAATTGAGAATTCATGTATTCCATTATTTCATTATTATTATTTCTGTGTCTTATGCATCTCCTATATGCTAGGTACTGTGCTGTATGCTTTTTATATATTTGGTGCCATTTAATCCTCATAATAAACTTTTGAGCAAATACCACTATCCCCATATTACATTTGAGAAAATTGAGGTTCAGAGATTACAAAGCAAAGACTGTCCAGCACTCTAATGAGAATGAGCTGCTCCAGAGTGCCAAGCCAAAGGAACAGTTTCTTTAAAATATTGAGGTGAAGGAGCAGATGTCCATTTAGATGATCTCGAAGGTTCTTTCTGATTCTAACAACTGTCCCTACTGTACTTTGCTCAAGTTCAAATGAAGGGAAGGAGCAAAGGAGAGGGTGACCTACTCCCTGGAGATGGGGAAGACCCTCCCCATGCCCCTCCTTACCTTTCTTGGCAGTTGCTGCCTTCTTGGCCTTGGGGGTTGGTGGCTCGGCCATGACCTGGGGCAGGAGGGATAAGAGGCAGAGGAGCAGGTAAGCCCCCCAAAGCACCATGCTGCTACACCGTGGGGCTGCTGCTGCTGCTGCTGCCTTCAGTGGACTGGATCAGAGAGCAGTGGCAGCCGCGGCCTGGGCTGCACGTCTTAAGTTAGTGGCCAGAGGACCTCTGTCCAGGAAACCCTCCCAGACTTGGCTGCTGGTGTGCCAAAAAGGAAAAAATAAAATAAAAAAGCCTGCAAAAGGAAGAAGGCCTGGGAGCCAGGGAGGCTCGCCGAGGAAACACCCACCCTGTGTCCACACCCACCCAGCTTCTGGCTCTCCTTCTAAAAAGGAGTCATTCTTTTCTAGGATTCTGAGAAAAACGTGATAGTCATCCCGGCTCGCATTTGGTAAGCAGTTACCTTGAGCAGGAGCTGGGTTGTGCCTGCCATCTGCTCACAGAGGTCTCCTGCCAGCAGCGTGAGTGCAGTGCTATCATTTCCCCGATTTACAGTCAAGGAAGCTGAGACACAGTGAGGTTAAGGGACTTGCCTTGGCAACCCAGCTAAAGGGCAGCACCAGCACTTGAACCCAAGCCAGGCAGCCCCAGAACAGTTATGTTCCAGTGCCCCCTTGCAGGGTGAGCTGGCGGCCTGATTGATTTAAAATATTTGTCATGATTGTTTTGTGGTTCTGTTTCTTTATGTGCTTGATGCATCTTTGGTTGGGGAAAGAAAAAATGAGGGAGTCTTTTCTTTGCTTCCTTTCCTTTTTTCAGCAATCTTGTCCTGCAACCACAAAATGGGCAAAGCAAAGGAGGTAACCACAGGGGCTGGAAGGGGAGGACCCCTGTGCCCCAGATTGGGTGTCACAGACTGAGGGAGGAGAAAAAAGTGTCCTTGGCAGGGGGAGGAGGATGTCCCCTTGAGGGGTATCAGAGCCTGGTGGGGTGTAGGATTAACCCCAGAGGAGGACAGGCCCTGCATGGGTGTTGGAGCCCAAGTAGGGAGAGAAGAACACCTGGAAAGATGAGACACTAAACAAATAAGTAAATGTATTAAGGACAGTGGGAGCCAGGTTTCTCTTTATCAGAGAAAGGAGTTATAAATATGTAGAGAGAAAACTGGAATGAATTCTGCAGTGTTGGATTGCAATTGGAGGTATCAGCGTACACTTGTGGATGTCAATACATAAAGATGAACATACACAGTGTGTGTCTTTCCCCAGTCCTGCCACTGGGAGAGCCTGGAAGCAGCAACCCCTCAAGACTTAAGCACTCTGAGCACCTCAGTCTTGACATCTAAGTGGAATTGTCTATTAAAAGAAACTAGAGTACCTCAGAGAAGTAGTGATTCCAGGGCTGGGACAAAGAAAGTAGGAAATAAGCCTGGAACACATTGTTTGGCCAGAATGCCAGATTGATAGAAAACGTCAGTAGGACACAGAAGCCAGTATGAAGGAGCTCCCTCTGGCCAAATTAGGGACAATTTGAGCATCAAAATAGTGATAGTAACAGAATGCAATAGGAAACCAACAAGTATATACAGATATAAATAAGTGAATCTATTGGCAGTCTGATGAGGATTGGTATATTTATATTGTCTCAAAGTGCTTCCTGTTACAGATTGAATTGTGCCTGCCAAAATATGTGTTGAATTCCTGGCTCTTGTACCTGTATGTGTGATCTTTAGAGATAGGGTTATCTGTGTTATATTAATGAGGTCATGTCAGTATAGGGTGGGTCCTAAACCTAATCGCTTCTGAGTAAGACTAGAACAGACACAACCACACACACACACTCACACATACACACATACATGGGGACAGGCAGGTACCATGTGAGGATCATATTCAAGCCAAGTAATGATAAGGAACCAAGGAATGCCCAGGGCTACAGACAGGGAAGGAATCATCAGTGCTGAGACCCTGATATGGACTTTTAGCCTCCATCACTGTGAGAAAATAAATTTCTGTTTCTTAAAGCCACCCTTTTGTGGTATTTGTGTCACAACAGCCCTAGGTAACTAAGAAGGAGCCCTGGAGGCACAATAGTTAAGCATTGGCCTACTAACCAAAAGATAGGCTGTTCAAACCCACCCAGCAGCTCTGCAGGAGAAAAGACCTGGAGATCTGCTCCCATAAAGATTTCAGCCTAGAAAACCCTATGGGACAGTTCTATTCTGTCACATGGGGTCACTATGAGTCAGAATCTACTCAGCAGCACCTAACAACAACAGGTAACTAAGACACTTGCCCACAAAAAAAGAATTAATTACAAAGAGGAAAAGATTAACGTCACAGTGAGAGAAGAAAGCCTTGTATACATTGCCTTAATCAAGTAACCACAGTGAACATGATTAGTAACAGGGAGAATCCAAAGCCTGCACCACTCAATGGGATGTGGTGAGAGTGCAGCATCCCCTCCCTGAGATCCCTATCAGAGGGTACAACCCCCTTGATCTAATCAAGAGGAACCTTTAGACAAACCCAGACAGAGAGACACCCTGCAAAATGACTGTAATCTTCAAAAGTTTCAGGTCTTTTAAACAACTATCTACATGGGATCAAATTGACAACAGCAACTCAAAAGGTTAGATAGGAAACTTAAGGGGAAGTGAGTTTCTGTTAATAGAAGATTGACAGTTCAGAAAAGGAGGGTGAAAAAGTTGCACAACTTGAAGAATGTAATCAATGTCACCGAATTGTAAATGTAGAAACTGTTGACTTGGTGTATGTTCTGCTGTATATATTCTCAACAATGACAAAAATAATTTAAAAAAAAAAACTTCAAAGTCATAACCGAAGAACTGCTTCAGTCTGGAGGAGACTGAGGACACAAAACAATGCAATGCGATCCAGGATTTTGGACTAGATCTTTTGCTTTCAAGGGCATTATTAGAATAATTAGGGAAAAGTGACAGGGCCTGAGGAGGCAATGTAGTAATGTATATATTCCTGCTAATGTCCTGATTTTGATGATCATATTATGATCATGGAGCCCTCATGGTACAATGATTAAAGTGCTCATGTGCTCATGATCCTATACATAGAAAACCCAAGAGACCCAGCAAAAAAATTACTGGAACTAATAGAGAGGTTCAGCAAAGTGGCATACAAAAATCAGTTGGATGCCTCCACATCAATAAAGAGGCCTCTGAAAAGGAAATAAGGAAAACAATACCATTTACAATAGCTACCAAAAAGATAAAATATCTAGGAATAAATCTTACCAGAGACACAAAAGACCTATACAAAGAAAACTGCAAAACACTACTACAAGAAACTACAAGGGATCTACATAAAGGGAAAAATATGTCATGCTCATGGTAGGAAGACTGAATATTGTGAAAATGTCAGTATTACCCAAAGCAGTCAACACATTCAATGCAATCCTGATCCAGATACCATCAACATTTTTTAAGGATATGGAAAAACCAATTATTAATTTCATATGGAAACAGATGTTGGATAAGCAAAACACTGCTGAGGAAGAAAAACAAAATAGGAAGCCACACTCCTAGATTCTCAAAACCAACTATATAGCCACAGTAGTTAAAACAGCATGGCATTGCTACAATGATAGACAGATAGACCAATGGAACAGAATAGACAACCCAGAAATAGACTCATCCGTATATGGGCAGCTGATCTTTGACAAAGGACCAAAGCCCATTAAATAAGGGAGAGATAGCCTCTTTAACAAATGGTGCTGGCAAAATTGGATATCCATCTACAGAAAAATGAAACAAGACCCATACCTCCCCCATACACAAAAACAAACTCAGTTTCGATCAAAGACTTAAATGTACAACCCAAAAACTATAAAATTTATCAAAGATAAAATAGGGCAAATCTAGGGGCCCTACTTTATGGCACAAATAGAATATCAAGCATACTCCAAAATCCAGAGGCAGTGGAAGACAAACAGGATGACTGGGACCTTTTAAAAATTAAATTCTTATAAGCATCGAAAGACTTCTCCAAAGAGGTAAAAAGAGAACCTACAGATTGGGAAAATACATATATATTTTTTATTGTGATTTGGGTGAAATTTTACAGAGCAAATTCACTTTCCATACAGTAGTTCACATATACTTTGTCTCATGACATTGACCACAATTCACCACAATGCAACAGCTCCCCTCCCACTTCCTCCCGACAGTCACCTCTTTCCTGTGTCCAACCCTCCATGCACCCCTGCCCCCTGAGCTGTCTCCCTGTGCATAAAAAGCCCTTCTTTCTCCCATGATTGTTTTCTCCAAGGAGTGTATATACCTCAGGTAAATGTTCAACTCCTATGCTTGTCTTTTGCTTGGATGGAAGCCACAGATGTGGGTTCAATTCTAGACCTGAAGGGCAGTTAAGGGCCATAGTCTCAGTGGTTTCACCAGGCTCTATCAGACCAACAAACCTGGTCCCCCTTTTTTTTTCTCCCAAATGCTTTTGAGTTTTGTTTCACATTGTTCTCTCTCTCTATCCAGGGCCTCCTACAGAGATCCCCCTCCAAGTGGTTGACATTGGTAGCCAGGCACCATCTAGTTCTAAGAGAAAAATTTTATTAACCAAGAATTATGTACCCAGCAAAATTGTCCCTCAAATATGATGGTGAAATTAGGATTTCCAGATAAGCAGAAACTAGGAGCTCTGGTAGCATAGTGCCTAAGGCACTTGACTGCTAACCAGAAGGCTGGCGGTTCAAACCCATCAGCCACTCCTCGGAAGGAAG